AACATGATATAAATGATGTGTCGCTAAAGCTAACATGACATAAACGTTCTGTGTCACTAATGCTAACATGATATAAACCTTGTGTTGCTAATGCTAACATGATATAAACATCGTGTTGCTAAAGCTAACATGACATAAACTTTCTGTGTCGCTAATGCTAACATGACGTAAACTGTCTGTGTCGCTAATGCTAACATGACATAAACGTTGTGTTGCTAATGCTAACATGACGTAAACTTTGTTTCGCTAATGCTAACATGACATAAACTTTCTGTTTCGCTAATGCTAACATGACGTAAACTTTCTGTGTCGCTAATGCTAACATGACGTAAACGTTGTGTTGCTAAAGCTAACATGACGTAAACTTTCTGTGTCGCTAATGCTAACATGATATAAACGTTGTGTTGCCTAAGCTAACATGATGTAAATGTTTTGCTTGATCTTCCTTTGTTCTTTCCTCCAGCCATGTGTTAAAAATAAGAATTTGATTTTAAACACTCACCTGGTGAATTGAAGGTTTATTGAAGGTTGTCTGTTTGTCTCCAGGTCTGCAGAGTTTAGGAGAGATCCTCTGATGAAGAGCAGCTTGGACGATCTGGACTTCATATCTCTGAACCAGGTCAGTGCCACTAGATTCTGCTGAGGAACCGGGCCTGACTCGGTACCGGATTCTATCTTGGTACCAGGTGAGCAGTTGTGGGTTCCGTGGTTGGATGTCATTATCCAACCATCAGTCTGTTCAGCATCCATCCAGTGACATCACCCCCATCACTAGGCTGAAGGGACGTCCTTTTCCCATGGTAACCCGGTGGGTGTCCCTGCTATTCTCCTCAGAGACCTGAGACCAGCAGATTGTGTGTAGTTCAGGGAGCGAGGGATAAAACTGGCTTCTGTTTACTTTGACTGGACCGCTGCTGGACGACTTCTGTCTCCATCTCTGCAGGACAGCAGCGTGTCCAGACTCCGCAGACGGACTCGCTCTCTGTTGGCCAGGAACGAGTCCCTGGAGGATGAGTTTGTCCGTGCAAAGGCGGCTGTCGAGGTAAGACTCACCTGCTGTGTCAGCCGACCCGTCTGTCCCCGAACCACCCGTCCGTCCCTTACCCGTGACAGAAAGTGTCCCTCCAGCAACTTCCTGTCAGCAGATGGACAGTTGAGCTCAGATCAGAACCAGAACCTGTTGGTAATCGCTAGTGATGGGTATTTGAGGCGTCATGAAGCGTTTCGACCCATAGCAAAACTGTACTGATACTGTGTCGATACTGTGTTACTGAATACTGACACCTGCTGGACATTAAAAATCCCTACAGGCAACGTAGTGATTTGATGACCTAATCCAGTGGTTTCCAAACTATTTCTGCCTGGTTGAACGATATGTGTGAGCGAAGGGGTGGTGGATTCTCAGAGACTCCCTGTTCTACTCAGCCCGGCTCCAGACCTACGGGGGGGAACCAACTTTTTGGGGGACAAAATGAATCGTAGCTGAACATAGACAACACCAGTAGCCTGCAGGCTACTTG